TGTAAAACTGTAGGACGTTCCCCCCACCCCCTCTCTCTCTCTAATGAGGGGATGGGGCGGGGTGGGAATTACGGACGACTAAGAATACACGTCAACCGAAATATGGGGTGCTCAAGGCTTGGGCGATTTTCATCCTCCATCCTTGTGTCAATAAACACACACCTTGATACATACGTCAATAAACACACGTCCTAATACACACGTCAATATACCCGCGTCCATAAATATACACCCTGATACACACGTCAATAAACACACGTCAATATACACACATCCTGATATACACATCAATATACACACGTGAATAAACATACGTCCTGTTAAACACAAGTTTTACTTGTTGATCGATAATTAGATAAAAAATTTCCGGGTTCATTAATAGATAGAACAATTACGAGCATTAATAATAATAGTTCAATTTCATTGGTTGAGTCAATTCTTGTCATATATGAGCTATTTTTGTTTAGATGTACTAACGTTTAGCGGACGTTAAACACAAAGATATGCTAGACTACCCCGTTACAGACCACGCCCAAATTTAATCAACGCTAAACATTTTTTTTTTGTTTTGAACATTGAGATATTCCATTTCAAGTGGACCAGTGCTTGTAAAGTAACCCCTTCAGACAATTATGAAAAAAATATATGTTATAATGCATGCAAATTTTTGTAAAGTGCAAAGTTATATGACTCTCACTTTAATATTGACTGAGGTATGGCCTTTTGAATAGGGATGCCTTTTCGCAAGTTTTGAAATTACTTTTATATGACTCGATTTTTTTATCTGATTTTATTCCTTCTAGTCAGTCTATATAATTTTCTGTGAGGGTCACTTTACAACCTTCAGAGAATTTGGCCCCCTTGACATGGAATGACCGTAATTTTGTTGCTTCTGGAAGCCAATTTAATGTGCGAGAGAAAGAGAGAGAGAGAGAGAGAGATATTGGGGGGGAGAAAGAGGTAAACGTCCACTCGACACTAGGTTATTTCGGTACTAACATATGATTCAATTTCATTCAATAACTCGCTTGCCCGTAGTGGTCCTTAGCAGTGGGAGAAAACCGGAGGACCCGGAGAAAACCCACGGGGTTGGACAGGCGACCCTACTCCTTGTTGACTCAATGACAGACTTAATGATACAGCGCACACGAGCTAACCATTCGACCATCCGACCCCCGCATTATTTAGCCCCAAATATTTATTAACATGTTGAACCAATAACCAAGTCTCTAGACCACCGGATGGTTGTGATTTAATTACGATCTTCGAAAATAATTTAATTAAAAAATGGATAACTTCGCTCAGAATTCATTAATTTGACTGACAGTTTTGAAATATGAGTGGACGTCAAATCCGATTAATAATACAAAGAAAGAAAATAGAGTGTAACTGTCTTGCTTTCCTCTAACAGTCGCCCCAAGAACAGCTGTCTAGTCGTTCGGATGAGACAAAAAGCCGAGGTTCCGTGTATACATTGGCGTGCACGTTAAAAATCCCTTGGCAGTTGGAATTCGATATCAGAGTAGGTCATAGCACCGTTGTCAGGGCAAACTTTTCTCCATAGCCCACTGTATAGTGTATGCCCATCTTCATTATCACTTTAATCTTCATTATCACTTTAAGAGCAAAACAGTAGGACGTTAAACCCCCATTTCATTTCATTTGTCTAAGAACCAAGTTAGTGAAGACGCCATGGAGAGTTATATGACACAACTGTATACCGGCCTACTTTTATTTTTACAATGTTCAATGGCCGTCTGCATATTGTGTTAACATTGATACCAATTAAACATACATTATGCAAGAGCTAAATCTGCATATTGCAGGTCTTTTTCTTTGGGCATGAAATGTTTTCTAAATTATTAATTAAACCTTTATTAACTTATCCAGACCATAATCAACGCTCAATGTCATCGCTAGCTTGTGATATTTACTGGATTTGAATGCATTTTGTGATGGATGATTTAACGTCAGAATGGATGATCGAGACTATGTTTTTTATCCTGCCGACATTAGTAATGATATTCGGGACTAGGCCGTATTTTCAGCATATTCTATTCACGTTATTTAATTTTAACTGCCAGTTGTTTATCTAATCTCCCATAATTCGGTGCTAGCTTTATATTTGGAATCTTTCGCACTGATGATATTGTGTTGGTCATTCTAGCAATCTAGATCTGAAAAGAAATCTAGGTACTCTACCAAAATCGTCAAAAGACGACTCTACACGGAAATAACGACTTATTTGTAGATTAGTATCTTTTCAAATATACTTTATAATTCATATCTTCACTATTAATACCCCAAATATTTTGTTTTACTCTGATTGATCGTATTTGAATAAACTTCTGCATACAAAAGCCAATTTATGACTGGGGTCTTAGATTAACCCTTTGTTGCCGACAAGGTTATTCGTGTGACGTGTCTGTAAAAGGGTTAATTTGTTATACCACGTGCAATATAGAACACCCACAACATGTGTGTATCCTATGAATAGAACTAATGAATACAGGCATATACCAGACAGTGAGCTATTAGAGAGAATTTTGAGCGAACAACAAGACTTAAATTTAATAATGATGCTAACTGTAGATGGATAAACGTAGTTGACAATGCTTGGTCATACCAGCTTTCTAACATTCCATAATGTCATTTGTTTTATATTTCCATTGAAACGTCTGTCCATTAACCAAAGTATCTAGAGAAAATAAAATCGGTCGGTCATCGATCTGTAGGCAGACAGTTTCACTTTAATAGAACAAAATAAATCAACACCTTATTCATTTCTTTATTTTAAATTAATGTTTAAGGTCAGGTTAACACTGTATCGACAATCGTTTACTTTAGCATCAATATTGCTAGGTACTTATCGACAATCCTTCAGTTTAGCAACCATATTGCCGGTTTGCACCAATATGACTTCGTTTGTTAAGGAAATTGGTAGCTGTGGTGAAGGTTCGTATATTTCTGGTGGTCCAAAGTCCGTTTATATTCTCGCACTATTCATCACTTTAAACTCATGAATGAGCGCTGAATCTAAGCAAATGATAATCCCTGTTAATATTCTAATTCGTTGGTTTTTTATCCTAAATTCTTACATTTGTCAGAGATTATCGTCCATATAAAAAAATTATGCATTTTGTATCAAATTAAACCAATTAAATTCACAAATAAACATAGCACATCTTTCATGGTCAACAGACACAATTTCCGTTTGGGTTCCAATCAAAGCCAGAAAAGGGTTACACAAGATAAAAAGTGTGAATTTTGCGGTACACAATCGACATAGTTATTTTATTGTTTAAATACGTAAAGAAAATGAATGTCTAAAACAATTTACAAAGTTCATCGTCTCCTTTATTCGTTTAAATTTTAAAAAAGTAGCCACACATTACAGCGTCATGGACACGATGGATTTACAAAACTAATATTGTCACTTTTGAGATTTGTGAATTATGTACAGGTCCTATTTTAAAATTAATCAAATCAAGGCCTTTATAACTGTTAATCTGGGTTGGTTACGGTAGCGAATTAATATATCTAACTTACCAAAGGGACTAATACTTTTCATGTACAAGTTCAGGGCGTTTTTGTTGCGTTGGAGACGAATAGATATTACTTAGATGATAACATTGGCATAACCCCAGACTTCAGCTTTATCCGGTTAGCACGTGCGCGCTGTATCATAAAGCCTGTCATTGAGTCAACTGGCGTGGTTTCGAATCCCCGGTTGTACTTGACAAGGAGTAGGGTTGCCTCTCCAACCTCGTGGGGTTTCTCCGGGTCCTCCAGTTTCCTCCCACTGCTAAAGACCCTACGTGCAAGCGAATTATTGAAATAAAATTAAACCGTATGTTAGTCCCGAATTGACCTAGTTTGTGTCGAGTGGACGTTAAACCCAATTTCTCTCTCTCTCCAACTTTATCCATTACAAATCACATGGTCAAAAGAAAAGATTCAGGTTTTTCTAGGATTATCTCCCTTGTTCTGAGTATGTTTTGTAGGATTGTCAAGCGGAGTGGGCGCTAATTACGACTGGCCCCCGGATGCATTCAATTGATTCAACATATACGGTTGTTGTTTAGAACTTGTGTGTGTCTTGCCCGCGGGTTTGTCTTATGGCTGTTCAATCATACCTGGTGTGATCCTCCAGTACTTATGGGAGCCACGGTGGCTAAGCGGGTAAGACGCTGGCTCGCTAGTCTGGAGGTCGCGTGTTCGATCCCTGCATTGACCCAGAAAATTCATCCAGATTTTCCGACTTGGTTTCCCCTTGTCAATTGTGCAGGATGACAAGGACAGCCGTCTAGTCGTTCGGATATAAAGAAAAACCGAGGTCCCGTGTATACATTGGCATGCACGTAAAAGATCCCTTGCAAGTTGGATTTCGATATAAGAATAGGCCGTATGTTCCCCTACCCGGGAAGAATCGTCCCCATAGCACACAGTATGGCGTATGCCCGTCTTCATTAGCCCAGTTGGACGTTAAACCTCACTTTATTTCCTGAACCTATGTTTGGTGGTTCCCAATCTTTATCTGGACCAATCTGATTAAAATAAAGATCTATATGTCGTTTCGTTTTATTCATACTTTCGATGGCCTCTACTGCATGAAGATCTGACCAGTTGTAGTGGGAGGCTGTGTCAGGGGTCATACTAGCGGGTTTGACCTATGGCGTCAGACATTTGATTACCCAATCAACGTTGATGTTTCTAGTAGGATACCCACAATTCCGTGCATTGCACGCCAAGAACTAGCTGCAACAAACCGTTTCATTGGTTAATCCCCTCACAGCAACCAGAACGCGGGTTATATAACAACTCTTCCAGATCGTAGTGTAGTAAAGACAAGTAAAACGAAATTTTGGACTTTAAAAAAACGAAACGAAATAGGATCTGTGTTGTAATCAGATTATGTGAGAACGACGTTGCTTGTTACTAATAATAAACCATGTCATAACCTGTCAATTGATTGACTTTCTTTATTTTATTTTGAACAGATGTTACGAAATGGACGAGTATCGAGACAGGCCGTCATCTGTAGTAGAAACATGGCCTGTGAATGGGCCATCTGTCCATGGAGAAAGAATGTCATAGTTACCAGAAATGAATGTAATTTTATACCAAATATGTAAGTATTATGTGAAATGGAGACGGAAGTCTGTAACTTGTGGGGGCGGGGTGGATGGCCGAATGGTTAGCGCGTGCGCCTTGTATCATAAGGTAAGTCATTGAGTTAACTGGCGTGGTTTCGATTGCCCGCTTATACGTGACAAGGAGTAGTGTCGCCTGTCCAACCTCGTGGGTTTTCTCCGGGTCCTCCGTTTTTCTCTAACCACTAAACCCCCTACGCACAAGAGAATTATTGAAAAAAAAGATCATTATGTTAGTCCCAAAATGACCTAGATTGTGGACTTTAATCCAGCCCCCACCCCCACCACCACCCCCACTCTCTCTCTCTCGTTCATAACTATCAGCCGCCGTATATTAAGTGTACTGACTACTAATATCCGGTTGACCTTTCGTCGATATCTAAAGATGTATACAACAACGTCTCATCCTTAATATTTTGAATTCTCCAATATCCTGTTTTCTATAAATAAAATAAATCAGTTTATTTTAACTTTTGATTCGTACTTTATATAACATACTTTCTTAGATCAGCATCTGTCTGTTTCATTCAGTAGAGATGTCGAGTCGGCACGACATGGTTCCGTCTGATCACGACCTTTACTGACACTGGTGATCAATGGATTGTGGGTGTTAGAATATATCATTCCGAGGGGAAACCCTAGAGGAAACAAACACGGCAGGACCGGATTAGAATCAGTCTCAATTCAGCAATCAAATGATTACACTCCTTTCACTATTAGAAACATTCTGATTTTTAGTAGGCGAGGTTTGTATATGGTAATCGCCACGAAACGTTTACATTTCCGGACTTTTGATGTCGTTAAACATCACTTTCAAATGATTACAATTCTTTCACTAAATGTAACGCCTTGATTTTTTTGTAGGCTAGGTTTGTGTAAGTTGATCACCGAGAAATATTTAGATCTTCTGAGAGTTTAATGTGTTTTGATATTTTTCCGCGACTGAAATAGAAACACGATGTCATCTTCAAACTGTTTTTTAAGTTCGTGTTCTGGAAATACGAACGTGAATCAACATCAATAATTCTTTCAATTGTCATCTAAATATGGTGCTGTATTCGACATCCTAGTCGGACCGTAAATCTACATCAATAATTCTTCAGTTGTCATCTAAATACGGTGCCGTATTTGATATCCCAGTCGGAGGGAACAACAGGACGTTGAAACCCACATTTCATTTCAATTCTAATTAATATGTCAAACTGTAACTGTAAATATCTCAATAATGTACCACTTGTAAACATGTACCAAATATGGGCTAATGAAGAAAGGCATGTTCCGTACAATGTGCTATTTTGCCCCTGCAGTGGCGTTTCAGTCTAGTTGTCGTCCATTTTCAACTGTCAAGGGTTCTTTTATGTTTTTGTGACGACTAAGAACTGTTCCATACCCGTTTTTCGTCGAAATTATTGGCCGCGAAAGTTCATCGGGATTTTTAGGACGTGCAACTAGCTGTCTAGTTGCTCGTATGGAACGAAAAACCTAGGTCCCGTGTACACATTGACATACACGTTAAAAATCCCTTGGCAGTTGGAATTCGATATAAAAGTAGGCGTTAGCAAAAGTTTCCTCATAGCACACTGTATGGCTTATGCCCGTCTTCATTAGGCCAGTTCGGGGCAGAACATTAGGACGTTAAACCCCATTTCATTTCATTGGGTAAAACAAAAAATTAAAACTAGATTTATTATGCATTTTCGTATATGCATGAATTTCCCTCGGCCCTTATTCGTCAGCTTAACCCACACGATGACTACAGAAAACCTGCAGCAGTCCACTTCTCTAAATATCCTCTCAAGATGGTTACAAAATAAAGCTGTAATTACGAATGATATTCTTTTTATAAAGTAGTTTTAAGCTCATGTTTGGACAATATTGTTGAGACCCTACCCAACACTAGTTAAAGAGCTGAAAGTTCCCGCTATAATTTTTAAAAAATAGATAAATACAAGGGAATATCTGGAGATTTAAGTCAACTTACTTCATTCTGATCGAGAAAAGCGGCGTCTCGATTGCCAGTGCTACTGTTGCCACGATAGTAAGCATAGTCTCGATTAACCATTTTTATATTAAATCATTAACTGCCAATTGTACTTAAATCTGTTAAAAAAATCTCGAGCATCCGATGGCATCAAAAGTATATTATGATCTTGTCATGTTAATAAATATCTGATTAATAATTTATATAACATTTAAAGCCCAAAGTAAAGACATGTAATGGACATATTTAGCTCTTACATAATGCTTCTTTAACTAATCACAGTAGTTCCAACATCAGCCCACCTGCGTCCGGGTTATACATTTTAGTTTTACAATTCTTTTTATTGCATAAAAAATGAATTCTTGTAGAGTTGAGTAAGTTCGCAAAAAAATAAATCCCAAATCTTTATTTAAAATCAGTGATGAGAATGAAATTAAGAAAGAAGGTAAAAATCGCAGAAATTAAAATGGCGGATCCTTGTAATTATGAAATATCATTACAAAACACATTGATTTGAAACTAACGACACACTTGTGAATTCGACGAGGAAATGTGCGGCAAAATTTGCCTCGTGTTTGCGTAAATATTTCTCGAATGTCGAGAGTGGGTGGGCACAAAACTCGGGTTCCATATATACGGCTGACAGCGCATTAAAGAACCCTTAAATAAGAGAAGGCCGTAGCGTCACTATCCGGACAAAATGGTCCTGATAGGACACAGTATGGTTCATTTTGTCTTTAGTATCGTCGGTGAATGCTGTATGCCCGTCTTTATTGCTTGCTAGAGAAGCCTAGTCGAAACGTCGCTCAATAATAAGCAGTAATTGTATTCCGTAGAATTGTGACCTGTATATTTATTACCCCGGCTAGTGTCGAATGTTAAACCCAATTTTATTTTACCCGAACTATGAGCGCGTATCTGAATATTCATATTATTTAAATATATTTTATACAAGAGCTAAATGTGACTATTGTAGGTCTTTAGTTATGCCTTAAATGTAATACAAATTATTATACATTAAATTAACTTACCAAGACCATAATCAATTCTCGATGCCACCGGGTACTCTAGATTTTCAACAGATTTAAATACGATTTGCGATTAATGATTTAACATAATTATGGATAATGGAGACTTTGTTTATTATCGTAAAAACGGTAGCAATGACAACCGAGGCTACACTGTTCTTGTAACGGCGATAACTCAACTCAAAATAAAGCAATTTGACTGAAATTTTCAACATATTCCCTTTTCATTATCTATGTTTTAACTATTATAACGGGATCTGTCAGTTCTTTATCTTATCTTACATAATGACCTTTGTCAGTTCTTTATCTAATCTTACATAATGCCCCTTTAAGCGGAAAGATATGGTGGTTACGGTGATGGTCTAACGTTCGAACTTTCGATCATAAGGTCTGTCAACGAGTCAAGTACGGTGGCTTCGATTCTAAAGAGTAGGATCGCCTCTCCAACTCGCTCTCTCTCTCTCTCTCTCTCTCTCTCTCTCTCTCGTCGATGCATAAATAACAGTAAGGATGGTAGAGGGTAAACAATAGCCCGCTTACCTAATTCTTAATGTTTGACCTTGTGTGCTTTCCTCGCCCCCCCCCCCCCCCCGCGTGTATATATAAAGAAGGAAAGTGTCAAGTAAATTTCGAATTTGGATAATGAAAAAAATGAAATGTGTTTTTACATCCTATTGTCGACAATTAAATAATAAAACGCATCGTCAATGCATAACAAATATGAAATGAAATAGGGTTTAAGGTCCTACTTCTCTGTTCCAACTGGGCTGATGAAGACGGACATACGCCATACAGTGTGCTATGAGGGAAAAATTCCCGGTCAGCGGCACTATGGCCTAACCATTCGGCCCCCCAACCCAAAAATAAGAAAATAAATAAACATGTAATAGGGTGATCCCCAGGCCTAGCAAAAATATATTATCAGATGACGGGAATGTTATAGACCTAGGAATGACATGAATTTAACATTGTGGTCAATAGAGAGAGAATTAGTAGCCTGACTCCATACAGGGCTGTTTATTAACTCCCTTGTCATGGATTTAACATTGTGGTCAATTGAGTGAGAATTAGTAGTCTGAATATTTATAATAATTTCCTTTCTTTTTTTCATTACAGGCACTGCTCATGCGCCAGTGGAACTTCCTGTAGATCATCTGGATCTATGGAAACACATCGAAAGTCCTTAGTTACTTACGTTTTCACGTGTCAATAACAAATTGTGATAGATAACATTTCCAGCCAGCCTTTATTTATATTTTAATTTGAAAAAAGCGAGTGAAAGAACAGATGCCGCCATCACTCCTGAAACAGTTTCCAGTCTACCTGAATAAATTAAATGGACATTATTTAAAGAGTGTCGCTAACTGTAATAAATAAATTGATATTTTTGTGAAACTTTTTGGTCTTTTTATTTAATTTTTCAAATTGGGTTTCCGGTTTGACTCGATACCTGGTTTCAGCTTGACTTGACAACTGACTTGTTTTCCGGTTTCGCTGGGTACCCGGTTTCAGGTGGACTTGTTTCAGTTAATAAATGAGTGAGCTAAACCTGAACAATTTGACAGTAAAGTGGCTAACTTTTCATTTAGTGGCGGAATAAGACGCATGGGTTAACCAGACTGGGGTGTGCTGGGCAGAGAGCAGGACTTTATCCATATTCAGACAGTGTGTATCCCAGGCAGCATGTTTCCTGACAGTAGATATCCCAGACAGCGGGTATCCCAGGCGGGGGACGATCACTAGTCCGCGAGTTTACTAGTCCGCCACTATAAAAATACTATAAATATGGGTATCAAAAAAACTCAGCAGGTATGGTGACTGATTGGTATCATGTCGCGATGTCGCCCTTCATAAGGCGACTATCCAACAACCCGACATCATGACATTTAACCCGACATCACGACTTTTTACCCCAATTATACGATTTTTCACCCGACACCACGACATTTAAAATGTTGTAATGTCGGGTTAAAATGTCGCGATGTCGGCCATCTTCCCCTCAATATATAGTATGATTATTTACAATGATCCTGATGTTGAGCAAGAAAATTCCCCGGGATTTTGCAGCGTGGTTTCTCCCTGTCGATAGTGCAGAACGAACGTTATGCCAAAGGATAGTGTCTAGTTGTGTAGATGGGACAAAAACACAAACCCCTGTGTACACATTGACGTGCATATAAAAGAATCCTTCACAATTGGAATTCTATGAAGAAATGCCATTGTCCATAGAAAATTTCCGTCACAGCACTCTGCGTAGCGTATGCCTATCTTCAATAGTCCGATTGTCTGCACTACCGAAAGGGAGAAACCACGCTAAACAATTCCGGGGGGCTTTCGTGACCAACACCAGGATCAGTGTACATAATCAAACTGTAAAATGTCGTATTGTCCTATTGAAATTTCGTGATGTCGGTTTGCCGTCTTATGAAGAGCGACACCACGACATCACTACATGATACCAATCAGCCACCATACCTGCTGGTTTTTTTATACCCATATTTATAGTATTTTTTATAGCGGCGGACTAATAAACCCACGGACTAGTGAATCTGCGGGCTAGTGCACCCGCGGATCCCTCTCACCCTAGACAGTAGGTATCCCGGGCAGCGGGTATCCCAGACAGTAGGTATCCAAGGCAGTAGGTATCCCATACAGTAGGTATCCCAGGCAGTAGGTATCCCAGGAAGCGGGTATCTCAGGCAGTAAGTATCCCAGACAGTAGGTATCCCAGGCAGTAGGTATCTCAGGCAGCGAGTATCTCAGGCAGTGGGTATCCCAGAAAGTAGGTATCACAGACAGCGGGTATCCCAGGTATTTCAGACAGTAGGTATCCTAGGCACTGAATACTGGAAGGGGTAGCCAATTATTAAAAGTGAAAACGGGGCAAGACAATAGATTGAAACTCCTGCTTTTACACCCACATAATACCCGAGTTGTAGTTTGGGTATCCTAGAATCTGAATGTTGGGGAGGGGTAGTGGAGGAAGAGTTGTAGTGTTGTTATCTAGAATCTGGATGTTGGGAGGGGTAGTAGAGGACGAGTTGTAGTGTGGGTATCCTAGAATCTGAATGTTGGGAGGGGTAGTGGAGAACGAAATGAAATGAAATGAAATGGGGTATAACGTCCTACTGTTCTCTTCCGAACTGGGCTAATGAAGACGGGCATACGCCATACAGTGTGCTATGAGGGAAATTTGGCCTGGACAGCGGCACTATGGCCTACTCTTATATCGAATTCCAACTGCCAAGGGATCGTTTACGTGCACGCCAATATGTACACGGGACCTCGGTTTTTCGTCCCATCCGAACGACTAGACAGCTGTCCTTGTCAGGCCCTCCGCCCTGCATCACTGACAAGGGGAAATCACGCCGGAAAATCTGGATGAACTTTCTCGGCCAATGCAGGGATCGAACACCCGACCTCCAGGCTAGCGAGCCAGCGTCTTACCCACTTAGCCACGTGATCCCCAGTGGAGAACGAGGCTGGGTAAAGCTAGTTGGATTTAATAGGGGAAACGGGGCTTGCTTCGTGAATGAGAATAACATGAAGCCACTGACACTGATCGGTATTCGGGTGAGTTTTTCTACAGTTGAATCTCTCATAGTATTATGAATACAAACTGGTTTTATTCAGTTCATTATTTAAAAAGATATGATTCATCACGGAAGACGAAATACAGAATGATATGGTTAGCACAAAACAGTATCATCCATGCATTTCGTTGATAAGCCTATTTTTAATCTGAGTGAATCCAGCCCGGAGGATTAGTTAGCGTGGATATATATAGCCCGGCTAGAGCTGACTTGTCATAACACAGTTCCATTACACTTGATGTGTAACCAGTAAAGTGATGGGGGCGAGGAGAGTCTCGTGTGTGTGTTTGTGTCCGACAAATTGTTACCGGTGAGAATTTGGGTTATTAGCGAGGAATAATACGCCGCTGGATTCCATGTCTCATGTCTATTTATCGCTTCATCCTTTCTACTTGATGAAAGGGAGATAACTACAGTTTTAACCCCAATTCTTATTAGAAGGAGAGAGAAACTAATAATCTTATGGTTCAACTTTATTTCATTAATTCATTTGGGCTTAGGAATCGGAGAACCAAGTGAAAATCAACGAGTTTAGGCAGACGCTACGCCAGTGACAGGCCGTATGATTTACACCGACGTCTCACACACAGGAGGTACGACGTTTCGACCAGGATAGTTTTTAATATAATCTTAACCACATGCGGGATGTTTGAATCTAACATTGTCTAGCCACCACATGTTAGCAACGATATACAGGATGGTGTGTTTAAATCTAATACCGGTCTATGGCGATGACGTTATATATTATCTCATCCTCTTGCACAATTACTTGGAAATCCGTTCCGTTATCGAAGTTCACTTCCATTACTTTGGACAATTTTACGTAAAGGAAGTCAACATCTGTGTTACTATTTCTAGTAACCACAACACACGTTGTTTCGTTAACTCTTCTATTGTGCTTTGCTAGTGCAGGCCCTATTTTAAGGTTTTATTGACGGAGCAATGTGTCCGGTGGTTCAGTGAAAATTTCCAGAAATTGACATCCGATAACACGATATCACGCTTACACTTTTATAAGGAAAATATAACAGAATTAACATTTTTATCTCTATAACCGTGTGTCAGTATCATTAACAGTCCAAAGAAACATTCAAAGTCGATCCAAAGGCAAGTGAACCTTCACTGTAACCTGCATCTGACGATGTTCTGCTATGTAATTTTCGTGCTTTGCTTTAGGTGGTGACAGGAATAGGTCAATAATACAAACCTTTTGAAACAGACAGTGAAAGAGGTCGATGTTCAAAATGATAGCTAAATTTCCCTTTACAATCTTGGCAGATTTACAAGGCTACATAGTACTTTGTCAAAGCACTTCGTGTCTGTAGGCCCGTTACAATAGGCCCTGTGCTAGTGACTGAAGGCCCAATCATAAGGTCCAATAATGAGTCAACGTTCGTACGTGACATGGAGTGGGGTCGCATGTCCATCCTCGTTGGTTTTCTCCGGGCCTTTCGGTTTCCTCCTACTGCTAAAGACCCCTACGCGCGAGCGAATTATTGAAATAAAATTGAACTATATGTTAGTCCCGAACTGACCTGGTTTGTGTCGAGTTGGACGTTAAACCCCTTTATCCCATACACATACTGGGTCATTTCGGGAGTAGCATATGGTTCAATTTCATTTCCTGTATTTCGCTTGGACGCTTGGTTCTTTAACTCCATCACAATCAACAACTCTAAATTTATTTAAATTTACTTCAAAATACACAATTTAAATTCTATTCTACTTGAGACATGCTGTATTAGTTAATTAATATTTGTAATTTATCATACGTCAAAACAGCACCTAGAGAACAGCGATGAATTTTTTATTTGTATTTATTCAATAACAATATTTTTTTGTAAATCGGAATAATCAGTCCGTATTCATATTGAAACTGTATTATTTGGTGATTAAATGTTGATTTGACAATGAATAACGTTGATTACAATGAATAACGTTGATTACAATAACTATTTGTTTCTGTTTACAATACACACATAAAGAAAAATATTTAACGGTAATATAATTGATGATCAGCGTAATAATTCACGCCTGAAATAATTATAAACATATAAGATTGGTCTGGTCAAATAATACCAAGCACCTGTGGCTAATGTGGTAATAAATGATCGATCGTTTTCTACTTGATCCTTTGTATCTTGTCGTCTTGTTTGCCCCCGCAACATTTCCCGTATTCGGAGATCTTTTACATCCTTGAACTGATCATCTTCCATCAGTCTTGGTTGTCCCTCCCTCTCCTTTACAGCCTGACGGTACATGTGTTGGGTGTAATATTGACCATTGTTGATCTGTACGGTTTGTTTGACCAAATTCATTACAGCTTTAAGTTCTGGTCCGGGAACTCGGTTGTTAATTGCTGCAATCCGTCCGCCTGCTTCCCGGATAAGTGCTTTCATTTCAGATGGACTGCCCTCAATATGCTGGTCAATCGTTGAACCATCATAATCCAGTGAATCTTTACCGGTGAAAATAAATACTGCGTACTTCATGAAATCCTGCCCAAACCAATATTTGAGATGTTTGATTATGTTCATCTCTTCCTGTGTAAATCTATCAATCTTCAGGACAAGCACGAACACGTGGGGACCTGGGTTTGAAAGCTCTATACATCGTGTAAGTTCTTCAAATGTTTCTGTGGTCGAAGTTGTAGTGTCAGCAATTCCTGGTGTATCAACAACAACTAGATTGGTTCCATCTCCAAGTTGGATCGACCCACCACGACATTCAGGTATCAATGTATTAGTGTTCTGTAGCGAGGTGGATTT